TATCGGCGCTCCCCAAAATGGTGTTTTCGCAAAAAATTTCGTACCGAAAAGCTTGCAAGCATCCCAGCAAGCTTATTCAAACAAAAGCTACATTCGAAACCTGCCAACGATAAATTGGACAGCTGTTCGTCCTCTTACGTCAGACAATTGGTTTGTCTTTTTTCTTAGATGCAACAGCATTACGACTAAAAACTGAGGAAGACGTGCGTTCGGCTTTCCAAAGTTCCGTTACTATTGTCATCTATTTATTCATTATTTTAGAACTTTAGCAACTCATTTGGCACAAAGAGTAATCAAATTCTTACCTAGTGGCTCGGAAAAAGGAAGTTGGGAATAACGAAACTGCAAATTACAAATCCCAAGATACCTGCACTGCTTCTTGCCGATAGTCATTTGGGGAATCGTCAAATTGTATCAGCGGTGCCATTAATAAAAATCGTGAATTCAATAAAAATATAGCATCCCTCTATAACCTTCACAACCACATCAACTGATTGTGAGTAAAACTAACAATACCATAAGAAGCTTCCCCCTCCCCTCCCCCATATTCTTGCAAGTACCTCAAGTTGTGTGCACAATTTGCTGTATCCGGTCTGCCCCAGAAGTCTACTATAAACTACCGTAGTACTGCTCTTCGAAGTCTCTTGTCTAAAATAGTTTTGGTTCTAGGTACAGTCCAACAGACAACAGAGCAAAGACACTTCAGGAGACAATCAAGGGTAATGCGTAATTTGCGAAATCGAAATGAGAGAATGACCTTGAAATAAGAAGGATAATCTTTGCGCTTAAGGAACAATATGATTGTCAAGCCTTCACAATATCGAAAAAATAGTAAGTTACGTAAAATATTTGGCTCATGAAAAGTCTGAAAATGTCTCAGCTACTCTAGCCGAAATATGAAAAAACAAAACTGCTTTTGAGAACATTTCACAAGTTTACTATAAAGCTAAATCTCTTTAAAGCGTCTGATCTTTCAAATGCAGTCACCTTGATCATTGAACAAAGACTTGGACTAATTGCCTGTAACATCTAAATTTATTACTGATTTTTCTGATAGTGATGCATACATCTTGTACTATATGTGAAACACTTAAAGCAGTGTGCATTAACATTCGCTGTTTTTGAGTCTGCATCAGAAGTGTAATGTACACCGTGTAGCAAAGAGTCCGGCACGTAAACAAATAACGTACTGGATTATTTTGAGTTTTGAGGTACTGCTTTCAGGTAGTGATGTTCGCATAGCTTTGCGACAGCTTTAGCATTACGACTAAAAACTGAGGAGAACCTGCGGTCCGCTTTCCACAGTTCCGCCACTATTGTCGTCTATTTATTCATTATTTTGAAACTTTAGCAACTCATTTGGCACAAAGGGTAATCAAATTCTTGCCTCGTGACTCGGAAAAAGGAGATTTAGCGAGTTAGGAGTAGCGAAACCGCAAATCACAAATCTCAAGATATCTGCACTGCTTCTTGCCGATAGTCATTCTGAAATATAGTCATAGTCAGTGGTGCCATTGATAAGAATCGTGAATTTAACAAAAATGGAGCACCGCTCTGTAATCTTCACAACCACCTCAACTGATTATGAGTAAAACCAACAGCATCATTGGAAGTCTCCCCCCCCCACCCCCTCCTTCCATCTTCTTGCGAGCACCTCAACTTATGTGCATCATCTGCTGTATCCGGTCTGCCTCAGAATTCTGCCATAAAGTACCGTAGTACCGCCCTCCTAAGTCTCTTATCTGAAGTAGTTTTGGTTCTAGGTACGGGTTCCTTCATATTAGGCCGCAGGACGCAGCAGCCAGCCGCAACACGCGGCAGCACGTCGCAGCACGCCGCGTACTGCGGCGTGCGTCGCTGAAGTCGCAGTGAAAACATACGCTCACTGCAGCACAGCTTCTCCGGTTATGGATGTATATCTATATTTGCTGCACGTTCGTGTTCTCCGAGAGGTTCCTTCACAGCGAGCGAGCCTAAATTTTCACTGTGACTGCAGCGGCGCACGCCGCGTCCTGCGTCGTAGTATGAAGGAACTCTACAGTTCAGCAGAGAACAGAGCAAAAACAACTTTGAGAACAATCAAGGGTAACGCGTAATTTGCGAAATCGAAATGAGAGAATGTCCTTGAAATAAGAAGGATAATCTTTGCGCTCAACGAACAATATGATTGTCAAGCCTTCACAATATCGAAAATAGTAAGTCATGTAAAATCATTGACACAGAAAAGTCTGAAAATGTCTCAGCTACTTTAGCCGAGATATGGAAAAACAGATCTGCTTTTGAGAATATTCTACAAGTTTATTATAAACGAAGAAAGCTAAATCTCTTTGAAGCGTTTGATCTTCAAATGAAGTCAGTTACGAGAAAAATCCAGCTTCTTTGTGCAACTCGCCAGTGCCAGATCCCTTGATCATTCAACAAAGACTTTGACTAAATGCCCGTGTGGAACTCCAAATCTATTACTAATTTCTGATAGTGATGCACATATCTTGTGATCGTATGTGTGATACACTTTGAGCAATGTGTAATAACATTTGTTGTTTCTGAGCCTATATCAGAAGTGTGATGTACAAATTCTAGCAGAGAATTTGCCGAGTGTTCATATGTTTTGATTTTTGTGTATTGATCCCGGCACGTAAACAAATAACATACTGTTTTGAGTTTTGAGGTACTGCTTTCAGGTAGTGATGTTTGTTTCATCGTGAGCAATCAGGATGACAAGCTCTAAAGGCTACATTCGAAACGCTAAAGCCACAGTGCGAATGCCTAAAGTCGACAAAAGCAATGGCAAAATCATCGCTTATACAATAAGAATAGCGGTGAACAAAGTTTGTGTGGTAAAGAGCACAGTTAGAGCTTTCCAAAAATCGTGAAAATAATGGTGTTAAATACAAGACAACTTTAGCGAGGTATGTTTCCAAATTTTTGCGGAGCATTTGCTCAAACATAAAAACCAAACAACATGCGAAAAGAACTTCAGCGAAGTGGTCCATCGTCTTGAAAAGTAGCCCATTGTAACTATGAGCATTTGCTTCCTTGCTTGTAAGAATTTTGCACTCAACATTTCTTCATAGTTCGCATAATTCACAAGCACATGCTCATCTAAAGGCTCCTGCATGATGAGAGCGCAGAAGCAGTTTTAGCTGAGCGAGCGCGAACGCGGCGCGCACGTATCCTCACCGCTGTAAATCCTGCGCCTTATGTGCTCTGCGGCTAATAAAGCCGCGATCGCGCAAAAGTATTGCGCCTTCGTCATGCAGCAGCCTTTATATTACGTACCTCACTTTCAGACCTGTACAGCCGCACTCAGGGTACTCTGAACGCGAGTTCGATGCACCCTATGATAAAAAAAGCCTATGACTTCTCTGTCATATTCACATTACGAACAATCAAGTTGCGGTCCTTGCATCTAGAGAATTACCAACGTATACCTTTTTGCAGATGATCGTCAGTTACATTAGGATAAAGTTTAACTGCACTCTAGTTCAAAAGTATCAGAGTATATCAATCCTTTGTCAATTTGACTCATTTATAACAATCTCTAACATTTCATTTACACGTCTTTTTTATTGAAGGTCAAGGAAAAGCGAAATTTGCCGTGCCCTATAGAAAATGTCTTTGGACTTTGTTTTTTCCTGAATCCTCATTGACCTATAAACTCAAAAGTCTCATAAACGGGTGCTAAAGAAATGTTCATTAACTTCGAGTGGCAAGCACGACATAGGACATTCCCATCAGAGTATCAGCATGACAGATAAGAAGTTAAAAGTGTGCCCTTGTTTTACTATTACGTTACGACGTTGTCGCTGAGCTCGGCGACGTGGCGTGTATATACGATGGTTTTGGTGTTTTTCTGTTACGTTTTTGTTTTTATTGTCCGATTTTGCACATAGGGGTCACCCTGTGTAACAATACAAAAATATTGTCCCACCCATGCGACAAAAGCTTAAGATTGACCTCGCAATTCATGTCAAATGGTCTGCTTGAATAGTCGTTACAGAGGAGCAGTTCGTACAGCTTAGAAAGCACGTGCTACACATACCACCCTCATTATCCTCATGTGCCACAACTCGTGTGTAGAAGAATAAACAAATAAAGAATCAAACAAACAATGACTGGTAGCCCTACATCCGATTCTACTAAACATCCTCCTAAATGTCAGTTTCTTTGCGTTCAGTACAAACCTACAAATGGTGATTTCTTACCAAAGTAATGTGGGAATTTAAGGCAACAATTTGGTAATTGGCTAATCACTGCAAGTCATGGAGAAAGGGTGGTAAGTATCTGGATACTCCGATTAAGTATACTGGCGTACTGACATGCTGGCGTAGTCTGCAGAGGGTATCGAAGACGTTGATTTGTTTCTCCTTCATGCTTATGCTTCAGTAGCACCAATATTGATGTTCAGCATCAAAAAGATTTCATTTTTATGTGACTAGTGAACCAGCAATTAAAGGCGCCAGATTGCATCCGCGCGCTTCGGGACCACACCGAGTTTCCCATTATCTGCTGATTTTTGCATTGACTTAACGCTTTATATATTAGGGTGCGTTCACACTGATCCGCATGTTCGGGAACAGTATGAACGCAGCCTTAGATATAAAAACGATGCAGTAACTTGCAAAGTCCTAGCAAAGAGGGTATTTTAGAACTAAGCATCAAACATGTGCATGCGAACAACAATCAAAAGATCAACTCGGATTTCTTGAAAACAAAATGCCTCGTAGAAGTGCGCAACGAGGTTAAAGTAGACTGGTTCGTGGAACGAACAGACCAGCTGAGAAGTAAGCTGCATATGATTCTGTTACCTGGAATTTTATGCAGCCCAGAATATAATCGATTAAATTGTGGATGCCTGCTATGGACAGCCACAAATGGAAACTTTCGAGCTGAGGCTCGCATGCAACGTGAAGACGAGCCATCTAAGTACTCAGGCGGGTATTATCTGACAATAATGAAATAATCGTCATCAAAAGTTGCTCTTCTGCAATTATCTCGGTATTTTAACAACTCTTTATTTATAAGGCAATACAATGCAAATATAATCCATCACAAAACATGTACACGTAATCGTAGACAAAGCAAGCGTCGGCGAAGTGCATCACATTTCTCCACAATGAAAAGCCAAAGGCTCAGGAGAATGAATGCGAAACAATCCGTTGCGACACGCATACACATACAAACACCGAAAAATGTAAGGCTTGCACAGATGAGAATCCTATACGGGCGTTACGCGGGTCAATTATATACTCACATGGGGTCATATTGGGCGCTTAATGGTATAGCTATATACCGAAGCGAGATGCTACACGACTACACGTCAAATTATCCCTATTTGAGAGAAAGGTAGAAGAAAGCAGTGGATCAGCTAGACACAACCTCAAGACCACTCCTTGAGTCAAAAACTCAAGGATTAGGTATGAAAGCGGCTAATCCAAGGCATCAGCGGTTTTCATTCGGCTATGCTATAGATGAGGTCAAGTAGGTTGCAGGCTAGTTACTATATCAGATAGGCTGTTTTTTGGTTTAGTAGTCGATTAGGCTCGGCGGAAGAACTTGGCACGACGGAATTCAGACAAATCATTCGTTGACTCCCAAGAGTACGCAGCTGGCTTTTCACATACAGCCAAAGCGTTCCTCTTGCAGCAAGATAGGAACCATTCACCATTTTCGTCCATCTTGATGCATCGTCGATTTTTGTTCATTGGAGGCTCAACACCTAGAAAATGAAAGATTCGCGAGCTTTCTAGAAACCGATTCCAGCAATCGATTATCTGCTGTCAAAGTGATCGCAAACTACACTTCAAATCATAAAATCACATGTATCTTCCTTCACTACTGATGACTTCCATATAGTAGATCAATGTAATTACGGGATAAACAGAAACTGGGTAGAATAGAGTTTGATCTTATCTTATCTGATCTTAACATTATCTTTATGCTTTATTATTAGATGATTGCGTTCAGACGTGGTAAATGGTTCTAAGGATACAATGTTTCAAAATCTTTTCATAGGTTTTTACTCCTTTGACATACTGAGTAAGATAGACCAATCCCCTCTCCTTCCCCCTTCTCCTTCTACCCCGGTTCACAGTCGTATTATGGACTTGACACATCAGAGATTTTATTGGCTCTCGCAGCGCAGCACTAAAAAACTTCTCATCTAGGCTATCGGTCCCTCCTCTTCTCCTTTGATTTACTTCAAAGTTGCGAACTGAAACTAACTACAAGAGCGATTGCGAATGGTATTTAGCGGAAAAGACCTTGTAAAGTGATCAATGGATCGTTGTCCATCATCTCGCCTAGGCCAGAACCATCGAAGGCTGTGCGCATAGAGCGCTAACAAATGAAGAAGTTGACAGAAAGAAAGAATACGCGCTGTGGCGCAAATACATGCACATATCATCGAAGACGACGACGACGATAAAGTTTTCTGTGAGCGCGCATCGCTAAGTTTTTTCCGTTCCTTTTTCTAACCATTTCCGGTCTATCAAGTGTACAGCGCGACCGTCAGTCATTTTGAATCCGCCCATTGACCACAAAAATCATACTTTGATTAGCATCGAATTATCGTTCGTTAGGATTGATTACAGGAAATGGAGACGGAAATCGCTTTTTTTTCTCGCCGCGCTGAAAATCGGGACAGAGAACGAGTGGAGTTGATATCGGCGGAAGACGATGTTGTTTTCGTTTGATAAGGTCATGTCTATTTGAAACCAAACAAACTGCGTTTGGAATTATTTCAGGATAAATGTTGTGTACACTCATATTTCACATAACCCCTTCCATCTCACCCAACAAAACACTTTGAATCCGAATTTGCTTTGCTTCCGTTTAGAAGCAGGGAAAACGTGATTTCCGAACAGATTAAGTAACTCTAACTCTAACCTTCGTAGTGTTTTTGAAATTATAGGTCTTACAAAGAATGATTTACAGCCATGAAACACGTTATAATATCGCTGCAAAAAAGTTTATTACCCTTGAACCAGATTGACTTCGCGCACTTTAGCACATTTCGAACTACCGCGGAGATTTTATTTGGATAAAAAGTTGCCTCTTTCTTTTTACAACCTTATAAATTACTTTGTATGAGAAAAACTTCATCGCCTCTCTCGCATAACTCAAAACTAGTCAAGGCTAGAGCGTAAACTTGTTATGTTGAGGTTTATTAAAGTTTCGAAATTGGATCTAGAACTTGTAGCTTTGAAACTAAGATTTTCGGGTAGGAAAAGATCAAAGTTTGATTCAAAATGAATTTTTCTAATTTTCTGTACTGCATGTGTTCCAGCTAATTCGGATAGATATGAGAAGTTTCTTTTTACACCTTCATCTCAGTTTCAGATATTATCTTCGACATTTGGGCAGAAAAAGATAGTCTGCAACAGAATCGGACGAGTTTGCTATATACTTGGAAATCGTATCCGCCTCCGTCCTATGTTTCTTTTTTCTTTTCTCATACTTCCTCAAAAGGAATGTTTTCGGTTCCTACTTGTTCCCCACCCTACCAGTTTGGTATCTAGCCTAAGTTCTTTTCTTAGAAACTATCTATACTTACCGTCTTTCCAGTTTGCATAGCTTCCGAACGGTGTCTGATCGGAGTTCACATAAACCCTAGAGGATCCAAAGAAAGCGGCACCGGTCCACATCTCGCCATGGTGAGCCAATTCTGAAAAGGAACAACTTGACGGTTATCTTCTAGCACCTTGAAAACTTCAGATTTCAATTTTTGCACAAGGGCATCAAAGCAGAAGTGCGCTTACACTTTCATTTGCAAGTTGAACTTTTCCTATCATCTCATAAAAAGAGAAAGGCAAAGCGAGAAATTTTGAGTCAAGGCGGGTCATGATGTCATTTTTGTATACGACACATTGGCAAATTCCTAAATGTGCAAAAGAGATTGCAGCTCAAGTGGAAAATCAAATCAAACTTTAGCTCGTTGTTCTCGCGCACGCTTGCCCCTTAGTACTTTCGGTCACACTCAAAGGTTAGCAGAGAGAAAGAACAGTTCTCGATCATTTGTAATAAAACTAACTTTGCCCTATAAATGCACACTTTTGCAGAAAGCAAATGCTGTAATGAGACTTTTTTTGCCGTTTCTGATGGAAACCCCTTGACCCAAATCTAAAAGGGTGGTGTACTTGTTCGTCTTGGGTTTATTGTTTACAAAGTGCTTATCCAGTGGTTTTTATGCCTATAATTGGTCGATAAGATGTGGATAGTCGTAGTGAGCTGTACAAAGATGGGAAATGTTGAACTTGTCTGAAATTTTTCCAACAAATATACAATGCAAACGATGGACTAGGCTTTTTGAGTTCTAGAACTGCACACTTATCAAAATAAAAAGCAAAAATTCTTGACCTGAATGTCTTGTATAATTTACAGCTATTGAAAATCCATATCCATACTTGACCCCTCTATACAAGCGCAAGGAAGTTTTTGGGTAGTCATTTGTATAAAAAGTGTTGAAAGGTTAACTGAAGTAATTCTGGTGTTCAAAAATTTCACTAATGTTTCATTGCTTGTTTGGCAACACTGCGAAGAAAAGTGAGGATAGACGAACAAAAGTTTCATTTTCCAAGAAAAGTTTGCGTGAAACTCAAAAGAAATTATAAGTAGTTCTATAAAATGATTTTTGTAAGATTATCGTGAATTCTCACTTACCATGAACAAACCGATTTTCAGCAGCACTACTGATTGAGGCATGATGTGCGCCTTGGAACAAACATTTGAACTCGGACACAGTCCATGGTAGTTCATCGTCGATAAGTTTGTAGCAAGATTTTGTCACAGGAAAATATCGCCATCCACGTTCACATGGTGAAGAGGATGCGGTCACTGAAAAATCGCGATTGTGAGGAGTAAAGGCACAAAATTTGAGAGTTGGCAAACTCCCCAAGGGAGAAGAGATGTGATGATATGCATACCGTAAACAACAGGCAGAAGGCACAGTACTAGAAGTGAATACATTCTGATGAGTTGAGCTGCTGCTGCTGAAGCTTTGTTAAACGTAGGCGACGAACGACGCTTTGCGCTGTGATCTGTAGTGAAGTGTGCTCGACGTCGTCGACCTTATATAGCGCGAAAGATGGCGGTCGTAGGGCGGAGCGATGATGGAGCCCCCTCCATCTGCTATCCCCCCCCCCTCCGCCCGCTCCGTCGACGTCGTTTCCGGTGTGAGCGAAACGAACCTTTGGACTACGGTAAGCCCGGGGAACAGACAGTGCAGTGCGGGTCGGTGGCGTTCGCGCGCGAGAACGAGCGAGCAGAAAAAAACGAAACGCGGATTGTCTTATCGCGCGCGCGAGACGCGGGCGGCTACGTCGCACTCTACCTTACTACTAAGGCTGTCGAGAATTTTGTGGACAAACTAATCAAAATCGTGGATTTCTTTGACCTCTGTCTTTCCCCTCTTTCTACCTCCACTTCTTTCCTCTTCTTTCCATGCTTTTCATCGCTGTTTCCCCCTTCCTTCCTCCTCTCTTCCCACCTTTCATTTCTACAATAAAATTTTGACCTCAGATATGCTCAGAATTTTGCCAAACTTACAAAGTCCTAGCAAGAGCTCTCTGTACTGCTCTGAAATTCCAATTTTCTTGGCTTGATTGCCTCTAAAAATTTTCGATATTATGAATGGAAATGCTATTGATTTAAAAGTTTCGTAATGCATACAGGGTGTCCCAAAAAATGTGCCTACTGTTTGATTCAAAATAACTCTCTTGTAAAGAAGTGTTTCGAGAAGCTTTAGGTACCGTTTTGTAGAGCGAGGTTAAACTTAGATTTATAGTATGAAGCGAACCATCTATCTCTCTTCATTACTGTAGGACTACGGTACGAACTTCGCAAGGATTTTAGGCCATTGGAGGCTATATTCAAGACCAAACAAGCCAAAAACTCTTATACTACGCTAATAAGAGCCGCTGATTCCGAATTCAAAATTTTCATTCTACTGTGATGCTTCTTTCCAAAGTTGTTTTCGGTAAATCGTGATAACTCAATTCACAGCATTTGTCAGGAATATAAAAAAGCTGAAAACACTCATAAAAAGTTGTTAGGCGGAATCAGCATGCGCGGAAATCCTGATACACGATTTTTTAGATTTTTTGAAAAAAATTTATTAGGTGGTATATTTCAAATTGGTTCCATATGCTGAATGTTCTTACCGTAACCCTACAGTAATGAAAAGCGATCGAATGGTTCGGTCTATGCTGTAAATCTAAGTTTAGCCTCGCTCTACATAACGGTACCTAAAGCTTCTTGAAAGGCTTTATTACAAGAGAGTTGTTAACAATCAAACAGTAGGCACATTTTTTTGGGACACCCTGTATGTGTGTTTCGACAATTCTACGTAACAAAAAAAATTTTTTTGACCCCAACCCCATCTCGTTCATTCTACGCTCTAGAAAATGTGAAAAATTATTAAACGTAGGTGGGAGGAAGAGAGGTTGGAGGGGGGGGGGTAGAGCTAGGGCATTTAGAGGTTATTTTCTGACCATTTCATGCCATTCAGATTTTTGGCTTTGGCCCTTGATTTGTTATGCATGATTCTTGTAAAATATCACCGTGCACTTCCAACTGGATGGATTATTTGGTAGTAGTAGTTATCGACTAAAAAATAGGTCCCTATGGGAAAGAGCTCTGCTTGAAGAGTAAACATCTCATGTGTCGCTTATTTACAGTTCTCTGTTTCTTTGCCAAATTTGTTGACGGAAATGTGGCCGTGATCCAAAAACTTCTCATGTTTAAATTCATGCGAATACTCCAAGTTATTTGTGCTCTTCGAGACCTTGTTATCAAAAACGTCATTTCGTGTGGTCACGCTTAAGTGCTGATGATATGAAATTAAACATTAGTGTGATGCGATATAAAACTTTATAGAGATCCTTTGGCTGTCGAAAATACAAATTATACGGTAGCTTTTAGACAACAGCAGTCATCCTTTTTTAAGCTATAGAATTCACTCGTATTAGAGGTGAATACCGTATCTAACCTCCCCCCCCCCCTTTCTCCACCACCCCCTACTCCTTTACCTGTCTTGAGATCATTGAATATTCTCGGGAGCAAAGCTCAAGCGCAAAAAAATTTTTCACCTGAACTTTGACGCGCAGAAAATGACCAGCGCAATTTCCGACTCCTATCCATTACTCACAAACTTATCCTTTTGCAAAACTTTTGTAAATTGCAAAAAACTGGTTCTTCCAAAAGAATGTTGCAAATTTTCGATACCTTTAATCTTACCTTACTGTATATGCTATTCATCAATTATGAAAAGGTCGTCAACCTTCAATTCATTATTTCAACAATTTCCTTGACATTGTGCAATATGCAGAAAAAAATTGCGCTCTGGTCGAAGTTTGATAACAGGAAATTGGAGCAAAAACAAGTTGTGGTCTTTATTGTGCCTCGATTTATCACACAGCGGTATCTCAAACAATTTTTTTTGATTGGCTAGAAAATTTGCTGGGTTTGTAAATTATCCTGTAACTTCTGGAAAATGCATCAACCCGAAAAAATCATATTTGGCATAAATTAGCTATTTTGACAAACGGTTTGAATGTGGTTATGCGATAAATTTTAAAAGAAAAAACTCAGGGATGATTAATTTTTCGCATTATTTTCAAAAACCCAAAACTTCTTAACGGATTTGCGCAAAAATAATTTTGCTGGATAGAGAAAACCCTTTCCTTTGTGACAGTGCCTTTGCTGCCCGCTAAAAACGGGGAAGCTTTTGATGTGGAAGCAGGAGAATAACATTACTTGAACTTCGCTCATTTTGAGTAACGCTGCTGAAAATTTAAAACCTGAAAACTGCATAAATTCTCAGCAAGGGGTAGTAATTCCTTCGATCCACCCTTTCCACTTGTACGAATTTCCGTTAAAATAGCATTTTTGTGAAGAGTTATGATTTTTGAAAAAATGCCAAAAAATCAGATTTGCGGTACTACTTACACAAATATTATCAGCTCTTCACAAAGATGCTCTTTCAACACCGACTATACGGAACGAACAGATGAAGAAGGGATGGACTAAAAGACTTACTGCATTGCTTGCTGGCAATATTACCGCAAGTTTTGGATTTTTAACAGGCTTACTCAAAATGACCGATGTTGAAGTGATTTTCTTCTGCTCTCTCTCTATTCTTTTATCATAAAATTTTTTCCTCTGTCATAGAGCAGCAAAGGAACTTTCGCGAAGAAAATGGTTTCTTTCATCTAATAAAATTAATGTGCAAATCCGATGAGTGTGCAAGAACTTATGATTTATTAAAAATGATGCGCAGAACTTCTGCACCTAATATTAAGTTGAACCGAAAGTAATGTCACATTGATTTCAAAAAGTCGTGACTGGTCTCTAAGGTATTGTTTACAAAAAATACCACCCGAAAGAAAAATTCATCTGGTTTCTAACAATTCCGCCGTTATTTGACAACAGGTGACTACAGAGGCAAAAATTAGAAAAGGTAAGCCACTCGAAGTCCCGATTTTCAAAAATAAATCCTCAAAAATCTGAAGCGCCGCAGAAGAATCTGAGAGCATGTTTTTCAAAAGTTTCGTGAGCTGCCCTTTCCACTGGTGCCAAGCTTGTGCCGATCGAGTTTTTCTACGAAAAGTTATGATTTTCCTGAAAAATGCAAAAAACGGCGAAAATAACGTTTTTATCATTCTTCTGCATTTCACGAAAATCGTAACTTTTGAAGAAATGCTCGATTGGCACACTCTTGGCATCACCAGAAAGCACAGCTCACGAAACCTCTAGCAAGGAATGCATGTTTAGTCGAAGTAGCCTTTTCAGATGGGATGTATACCGCATAGGAGGGCATAAAATGCTGATTCCAAATATGCCTTCCTTATCTGCAGAACATATATGAACAAGGAGTATGAGCGCCTATTTGAGCAAAAAATTCAATGTGCAAGTAGAACAAAAATAAGCGTAATACTTTTTCTAGCTCTTCAATGAAACAGTGACAATCCTCAGAGCAGTCACTTTATTCAAATATACTCTATAATCAAAAATATACACTTGGCTGCTTGGCTTATTTGAGAGCTAGTAAGATTTAAGCAACTCATTTTATCCCAAATGCACATTCATTTTTTGGCCCCAAGAAACGCTCATAACTCCTCATCCATAAATGTTCTGCAGATAAAGAAGCAGATTTGGAATCAACATTTTATGCCCTCTAATATCGTACACATCTCATTTGAAAAGGCCACTTTGACTAAACAGGCTTCCCTTGTAAGAATACTCTAATGTTTTTCTTTAGTGTTTTTTGACGATTTATTTTCGAAAATCACGAGTTTGATTGGTCTCCTATTCGAGTTTTTACCTCTGGAGTCACGTGTTGTCAAAGAGCGTCGAAAATGTTATTAGAAACTAGATGAATTCTTCTTTCAGATGATTTTTTTGTGAATCAATACACTCACATAGGAAGCAGTTACAAATTTTTCAAAATCAATGCGACATTACTTTCAGTACTGCAGGTGAGGTACATCTTTCCGACCCTCCTCCCCCCTTTCCTTCCCACCCCGCTTCCTCTTGACTCGAGACACCTTGAATTCTATCATTCAGGTTAATGCGCCATTTTCTATTCCACCTCCGTGATGTTGACCAATTTTTTTTCAACCATTCGAAACCGGACATGCCCTTTTCTAAGTTGCTTTTGGTTTGAGTCAAAATTTGCATTTTGAAGGTCACTGCGCCCCCGTTAGTACCGTCTGAGACTGCGCCCCCGTACGCACGTGGTGTGGGAGTTAATGGCTGCTGTCCGAGAAGAAAGACCGCTTGCCACCTCCGAGGTCGTATACGTCAACGGAACGCGTAGTGGTCAAGACATCTTTAACCCTAAACTTGAAATTGCGCGGAGGAGGTAAGAACGGCTAGAGTAGTTGCTTAAGGAGATTGTACAAAAAAACCTTTCTCAAAATTCGAAAATGAATTTTGGAGGCCTAAAAATTGGAAAAGTAGTAAGCAAATAGTTTTAGAAAAAATTCAATACTTACATTTCTACCCTAATCAGTCGATGCTTTGTTACTCAGTGTAACGAGGAAGTGAAGTTCTACCTGGATCCCCAA